TGGTCCATAGGCTCCATCTCCAGTCCCTCTCCCCCTCCCTAGTGGTCAGAGGGTGGGGCTGTAAGTTCCAACCCTCTAATCAGCCTTGGTCTTTTTAACAGCCAGCCAATTCTGAAAGCTTTTTAGAGACCCACCACCAGTGACCTCACTAGAACCAAAGATGCTGCTATTGCTCAGAAAATTCTAAGGGATTTAGGAGATCTTTGTCAGAAACTGAGGACAAAGACCAAATGCATATTTCTTACTATACCACAGTATCTTGCCCCTTCTTGGGGGATTTACAGCCATATCCATACATTAATATTGAGTCTGGAAAGTTCCACCAAAATAGATCTGCTGAAGTTTTTTTTATTAATCATCTCTTAAATTGGCTTGACTCTGAAACTCATTTTTTAAGCCTACTGACATCCTGTAGAACTGTCAGCCTTATTATTGGTTCATATCTTTTATATCTCCTTTATGTTTTTGTCTTTCAATAATTGTGTTTCGAAGTCTCCATTATTTGGACCAGTGTGTGCAGTGTTTTTTTCTTGTCATTTTATTTTGAACCTTTCCGTGTTTTATGGTTAGGATAGTTTTATAAACACAGCTGGGTTTTTCTGTTTGTTTTTGCTTTTAATCTCGTGATCATCTCTGCTTTCTTTACTTTTTTTTCAATTGGCTACACATTACATAAAACTTACCATTTTAGTCATTTTTAAGTGTACAATTTCGTGGTTTTTAGTACGTTTACATGGTTGTGCAGCTATCACCACATCTTCAGAACTTCATCTCTGCTTTTTAATCTATGCTGGGTAGTTCATTTACATTTATTGTGATTATTAATGTATCTGATCTTGTTCTTACTGTCTTACTATGCTTTCTATTTATCCTTTTTTATTTAAAGTTTTTTTATTTTAAAATTCTTGATAGCTTTATTGAGGTATAATTGATGTATAATAACTGTACATATTTAAAGCTAGAAATTTGGTAAGTTGTGACATGTTTACAGCCATGAAACCATCACTATAATTAGAATAAATAAAATCCATCACTCCTCAAAATTTGTTCATGCCCCTTAGTAAACCTTTCTTCCTGCCCCACCTCCCCTTGCCCTTTCTCTGGGCAGCCATTGATTTGTTTTCTATCACTAGATAAGTTGGCATTTTTTAGAATTTTATATAAATGGATTCATACAGTATATAACCTGATTGGGAGGGATCTGGCTTTCTTTCACTTGGAATAATTATTTTGAGAAGAATCCTATCTTATTTATTATTTCTCACTTTAGGGATTACCCTTGATATATTTTTTTTAACCAGTGAAATTTTACTTTGTATATGTAACAACCACCCCCCAGCCCCCATGCCCTCCCTCACCCCCCTACAAAAAAAAAATCTAAAGTTAGATTTAGTTAAAAATCTCAAGTGTCAGAGGTTGGATTAGCCATGGGATCCTCAAAGGCCTTTTTGATATTGAAGGTTTGTGGCTTTGTAGTGTCAAAGAATAATTCAGAGACACTGTTTTACTCGTATAACAAGGTAAACCAGTTTTTAGAATTGATTGCCAACCAAGACAATTAGAAACAAGGAGAGAGGGAAAAACCACAGACAGTGGTGGGAACAATGAATTTTGTTTGCACATTTGTGTGTGTGTGTAAGCTCATTAGCTATCTAAGATAACAAGGGTTATTTTCAGTTAATGGATTTTCTAGAAACTTGACAAGCTGTCTCTATAATGTCTGCCAGTGTCTTTTTTCAGTATCTCCATATTAAGCCAGTTCATTCCCTTTCCCTCTTCAGAATTTCTCATCTGTCATCTTTTGGTCTAAACAAGCACATAAAAGAATGGGTTTAATCTTAAGAGCTTCAGTCTCTTTGATGTGGGATAATAAGGTTGTCTAGCAACATTAAAGCACCTGGATATTAAATAGTGGGTTTGAGCAGAAAATATGAGGACAGTCACAGATAAAAGAAACACCTAAGAGCCTGTATTTGATTTAATTTTCTAATCAGGCTAAGCCTATCTAGGAGAATGTCTTTTAAGATAATCAGTTTAGTGAACTTTTAGTTAAGTGGCTTTTTTCTTAATTAATTAATTTTTTCCAAAGTATGTGTCCAGGTACCATAGGATGTTATTTATTGTACATCTTTATTTATTAGCCTCAACTGACCAGTATTTGAAATCAGTTTTATTTAGGGATAATTCTTAGCTGAGGAATTTGTTAGTTTGGGGCTAAAATGTTTTAATTATTTGTTACTTGGACCTTGTTAGAGGTAAATTACAAATCACATATCCATGTTCCTGAATTTGTAGTGGAGTAGAAATTCTTAAGTACAAACATGAAATCTAGTGTCTTGGACCCCTTCTGATAAGTTACCACTTTAGACTCTTAATTGAATGTGAGTATTGGTTTGCAACTTTGGAAGCTCCCTGGGTGAAATCTGAAACTGGCCGCATACACGGAGGACAAGGAGAGACCAAAGAAGGAGGCAAACCACTCCAGGTTGGTAGGTGACAAGTATAGTAAGCAAGGGAGCTTACATAGAGGCTTATGTTTGGTGCCTCAAGATGAGTACATCTCCGTATCCACCCGCCGGGGTCTTAACAGTTTCTGTAGAGTCTGTATATAATAGGGTTCAGTCATGTACTCAGCCCGGATAGTCTCTACAACACGTTGCTCTCCCAAGGCTGCATCCTTGAAGTTGCTCCTAAGGTGGGAATGGTGAGCAGAATGTACATTCCAAGTTGGGAGGAGGGAGTAAGGAGCCTCCAATAGCCTGGATCTGGCTCTTGGATCAACCAGTGGTCACATCCTCTCCATGATCTCCTCCAACAGTGAGCAACCAAGATTTTTATTTTAAAACTTGGATAATGTTTAACTGATTCAGAAGAAGTTAAAAGAGGAGGAATACATATAATGGAATGTTTGTTGTCTTGATTATGAATCCTAATCTGAAGGTTTTTGGAGAACATTGTCTACGTGATATGATGGACCCGTGGAATCTCATGGAGATGCTGTCTGCTTCTAAGAGTTACCAGCTTCTGGAGGCTCTTTTTTTTTTTTTTTTTTAATTGACGTATAGTCAGTTTACAATGTTGTGTTGGAGGCCTTTTTTAAAGTGAACTTCAAGATAGATCTCTGGTGGGACTGGATGTCCAAGTTGTTAGAATTTGAAGGAAGGACTAGGATGTCTGGGGGCTCTAGATCAGTAGTTGTGGTTAAGAGGGCATAGAATGGTCCTTTTCAGTGTGGTTTTAGGGCTAACTTCTCTTGCTGACTCTTAATGTCTTCATTTCTTAGCTGTGTATTTAAGTAGAGGTCATGTTCTTCTAGAAAAGTAGTTTGCATCTGTTAGACATATAGCTGAGAGCATAAACATTAGTTTTCTGATCATCTCTAACAAGCTGTAAATATACCAAGGTACACTTTGTCATAGGAAAGAGGTCAAGCCAAGTTTTAGGTCTTTCAGGCCAAGTTTTAGAAATTCATAGTGAGAGCTCATCGTGTTTTTGAGGTGTGAATTACAATATCCTGAGGAATATCCTGAGGGCTAGGAGTAAAACTTTAGGCTGACAGAAGATTAAGTTTTTTTGACATTTAGACAGCATTGATTTTTAAGTAGCATTAGGTCTTGTGATCTTCTCAGAGCTTTGGGGATGATGTAGACCAAGAAGTTTCCATTGAAGATACTTTGCGTATCTGTAAAGGATTTGACCTGTTAAGTGAGTTTTTATCATTTGAGAGTATTACATTGGTATAGAGGGAAAAACCATTAAGCTTTTATCAAGAGTTAATGGCATACATATTTTGACAAGGGAAAATTTTAATCCAACTGGCAAATTTATAAACTATTACTAAAACATATTCAGACCTTTTAAGCAGCTAAAATGAAATTTGTTTGTAAATGTTTAAACGGTGGTTTATGATAATTATAGGTAATTTGAATATCTGTTGAGTCTTTCTGGAAAGACGTTTTCATTAATAGCTTTATAAAGTTTGAAATAATTTGTCCCTGTTATTTGGTTTATGTTTCATTATGTAAGTAATAAAGTCTGGAGATAGTTTCAGACATCAAGTGGCTTAAGTCCACTTTGAGATAGCCAGTGATCTTTTTCTCTTTTGTGGGGACATTTTGTTGTATTGAACATTTTTTTTTAAAATTCAGAATTTGTATTAGTCACTTGTCATAATAGAGCGAAGAAAGGCAGGGAAAAGTAGTCAGTCTGGGAAGAGCAAAAATTTTTTGCAATTTTTTTTTTAAGCACTGATTTTAAACTGATTAGTCGGTTGCTGATAAAAAGATTAGTCTTGACAGAGCAGCTGGTATTGAAGAAGAACTGTGTTGCTTATGGATTCTGTGGAAAAACTTTAGTTTTAGGCATGGAACAGAATGGCATGCTGTTTCTGTCTCTGCAGTGGCCTGGATAGCACCTCTATCTTATTAGACCAAGCCATACTCTTCCATTCATAAGAGTTTCTTGGTGTAATACGGTAACAGACCTTGGTGAGTAGTCTGGCAGATTCAGATGCTCAGTAGTCCTTGCTTTGGTTATGGTTACAGTTAACCCTAGGTCATTCTTGTACAGCATAACTTGGACCCAGAACTAGGTGGAGGAAAAGAGAAAGTTGTTGGAAGAAGCCTCAGAGGTGGAGAGGGGGCTGATCTTTCACATTCCCTCGTGTCTCCTGGCAGGGCCCCCACCACCGAGGAGGACAAGAAGGCAGCTGAGAAGAAACGGGAGGACAAAGCCAAGAAGAAGCACGATAGGAAATCTAAGCGCCTGGATGAGGAGGAGGAGGACAATGAAGGCGGGGAGTGGGAACGAGTCCGGGGTGGAGTGCCCCTGGTTAAGGTGAGGACTTTAGAACTAAAGTGAATTAGGAAACTGTTTGGGAGAGCATCCAGGTGCCTTCCTGGTCAGATTTGGGAGAAAAATTAAGGCAAGAATGGGTTCCTATTGGCCTGCATGTGATAAGGTATGTGTTCCCTAGGAGAAACCAAAAATGTTTGCCAAGGGAACTGAGATCACCCATGCTGTTGTCATCAAGAAACTGAATGAGATCCTACAGGCACGAGGCAAGAAGGGAACTGATCGGTAAGATTCATGGGCTTGGGCTGTGGGATTACAGGGTGACAGCTCTTTCTAAGACACAGAGTGAAGGTTAGAGGGAAATAATGCTGTTTTGGGAAGATCTGTGTCGCTGCAGTAGGGGGAACGGTACAGTTGGAAAATACCAGTCCATTTTCTGTTTATATTCCCTTTGACCTTAAATCAGTCACCCAACCGTTTGGTGCTGTTTTCCCATTTGTAAAATGGGAATAAAGCTCATCATCTTTAGTTATTCAGGGATTGAAGAGGATGATAGATTGTTAGCATTATTACTGTTTATGTTTGAAATCTACAATAGAGAAGCAAGCATACAGATAGTGAGGATATTGGGAATAAGGCTGGCTTCCTTGTCTGAAGAGAGTGTGCTGTATAGACATGTTTGTGTCTAATGCCTCACCTGATCTCTACCCCTCCAGTGCAGCCCAGATTGAGCTGCTACAGCTGCTTGTCCAGATTGCTTCTGAAAACAACCTGGGGGAGGGTGTCATCGTCAAGATCAAGTTCAGTATCATCGCCTCTCTCTATGACTATAATCCCAACCTGGCCACATACATGAAGGTGAGGGTAATAACGAGCATCCCAGGGCGGAGCTGGTTGGTCGGAGGAAGGTGCCTAGTGTCTTAAAATTCAGGGGTTGTGGAAGCAGTCTTGGTGGTTGGAGGCCTGTGGATTCCTGGTGAAGGGCTCTTGGGAGGCATCTGCTTGTTCCACTTACACACCTCCAACTGCCATCCGATCTCTTGGCAGCCCGAGATGTGGCAGAAGTGCCTGGACTGCATCAATGAGCTGATGGACATACTGTTTGCAAACCCCAACATCTTTGTTGGAGAGAACATTCTGGAGGAGGGTGAGAACCTGCATAATGCTGACCAGGTAAAGAAGGGAATTGGCAGGCTCATTGGAGCTGAGAAGACTCATTGGACTCAGAAAGAGTGAAGTCTAGGAATGAAATTTGGCTAATTTATTTACTCCTTTGCCTTCTCTTCAGCCTCTGCGTGTCCGTGGCTGTATCCTAACTCTAGTGGAACGAATGGATGAAGAATTTACCAAAATAATGCAAAATACTGACCCTCACTCCCAAGGTGAGTCTGAGCAAGTATGGGCATCAGTGAGAGGAAAAATGCAGGGATTAAAATGAAGGATAATACTAAATGAGGATATTTGGAAAGCCAGCCCATCCTTAACCCCAGCAGTCACACCTCAGGGCCTTTAAGATACTGGGCCCCACTTCCATAGCTTCTGATTCAATAGATCTGGGTGGGGCCCCAAATTTTGCATTTCTGACATGTTTCTAGGTGATGCTGCTGTCTGCTACTTTGAGAACTGTTGGGGTATGACCTCTGTCTACTTGGCTTGTTTAGCTTGGATCAGAGGCATTGGGATGGGAGAAATACAGGATATTTACACAGTAAAATATGAGTGTCCATGTGTGCCCATGGAGTCAGGGGTGTAATGATGAACAAAACAGCCTTCGTGCTCATGGAGCTTACATTTCGGTGCAGGAGAAATAAATGAATGAGGTGATTGTAGATAATGTAAAGTGTGAACTAGAAATTCAAATAGGGACCTGTGACAGAGGATGACTGGAGTAGTGGCTGCTTTAGATGATGGTTGATGAAAGCATCTGTAGGAGGAGTTAATTAGGGGAGGAATTAGCGGAAGAGAGTGCCTGACAGGGAATGGAAAGTGAGCTTGACATGTCCCAGGAAAGGATGGTGTTTTTAGGGCATGGTGAATACTCTTCTCATGGGTACAGAAAACACAAGAGGTAACTGGATTGATTAGGGAAAGGTGATTGGGGAGGCCTGGGTGCCTGGCTAAGATGAGGATGGGTGCTCTCCCCAGAGTATGTCGAGCACCTGAAGGACGAGGCGCAGGTGTGCGCCATCATTGAGCGTGTGCAGCGCTACCTGGAGGAGAAGGGCACCACTGAAGAGATCTGTCGCATCTACTTGAGGCGCATCCTCCACACCTATTACAAGTTTGATTACAAGGCCCATCAGCGGCAGCTTACCCCCCCTGAGGGCTCCTCGAAGGTGAGTGCTTGGCCACCATGTTGGAGGGAGAGGGATATGAAAGTCAGCTCTGGATGTCTGTCAGGACTTGATGGCAGATCTCTTGTTCTCTGGGGAGTGGCTTTTGGTGGAGCAGGGAGGAAAACCTGGTGGGACTAGGAGGCTGGATGGAGTCTAATCTTTGGTGGCGGAAGCCTGAGCCATTTAGAACCATTGTCTTTGCCATATCCCCTCCTTCAGCAATATCTCCCCCCTTCCCCCTGCTTCTCCAGTCTGAGCAAGACCAGGCGGAAAATGAGGGGGAGGACTCAGCTGTGCTTATGGAGAGACTGTGCAAGTACATCTATGCCAAGGACCGTACAGACCGAATCCGCACGTGTGCTATCCTCTGCCACATCTACCATCACGCTCTGCACTCGCGCTGGTACCAGGCCCGTGACCTCATGCTCATGAGCCACCTACAGGACAACATTCAGCACGCGGACCCGCCAGTACAGGTAGAATGGGAAGGAGGCGCTCTGGCCCTGGTATCTAAGATCAGGGCAGGCCCCTGTCCTCTCTCTATTCAAGCAAAGTGACTTAATCAGATTAGTCATCTGTCTGGCTAAAGCAGATATAAGGAGACACTTGGTCCTTCCCAGATGCCAGCATTCTTTGATCCTCCTGCATGTTAACATAGAGTTCCCTGGGCTAGGGCTTTGGGTTCAACTAACATTTATTATACCTACTGTGTGTCTGGTTTGAAACAGTAGGAAATGATCTTATTTAAAAAGATGAAAAAACCCTTAAGAGGTGGTTAAACTGAGAAGACAGACAGGAACCCAAATGCAGTGTGGTGTATTGGGACATAACACAATTTTGTGTATGGCAGTATTTTGAGGACATTTTCACATAGGAGTGTTTAAAGCTGTGTCTAACTTTAGATCCTGTGAATGTATGTTTAAACAATTATAAGGTATTTATGTGTAAAACATGGTGAGGCTGTCTGGTGGTGTTTTTTGAATAGTACTCCTGTTCTCTTTTGTTCCATTGTATCAGTTTATCCCAAGTTTTCTTGAATGGGTTTCCTCTTGATTAGATACCATGTAAGATACCAGTTTGGGGCTATCATAAATGAAGCTGTTGTGACCACTTATGTTTAAGTCTGTGTGGATGTATGTTTTCTCTTGAGTACATCTGAAGAGTGGAATTCCTGCATCATAGTGTAGGTGTACGGCTAGTTTTATAAGAAACGTAGAAGTGGTTGTACCATTTTACACTCCTGCCAATAATGTGTGAATGTTGCTTGTCACTATTTAGTGTTGTTGGTCTTCCTAATTTTAGCCATATTGGTGGTTGTCTAATGGTACTTCATTGTGGCATTAGTTTGTATTTCCCTGGTAACTATAGAAAGTGACCACTTTTTAATGTTTATTGGCCCTTCATATATCTTCTTTCATGAAGTGTCAACTTTTGCCCCCCTTTTTAAAAGTTAGATTGTTCATCGTTTTATTATTGAGTTGTAGGAATTCTTTGTATATCCTGGATACCAGTCCTTTGTCAGATAAACGTTTTCCAGATTTTTTCTCCAGGCTGTGGTTTGCGTGTTCATTTTCTTAACCATGTGTTTGATGTAGTCCAGTTTACCGGTTTTTTCTCTTATGGTTATTATTTTCTCGATCCTGTCTAAAGAAACCTTTGCCTGCTTGAAATTCATAAAGATACTCTTTTTTATTTTTAGTTTTTGTAAGTTCTTAGGGTTTTGTCTTTCACATTTAGATTTATGATGTTTGCACATGGTGTGATGTCAGAGTTAAAGATGTTCTTTCCCCCTTGTATTGCTTTGGTACCTTTGGAAAACCACATGAAAAATCATGTGACCTTGTAACTGATTGTATTTCAGTCTTACATGTTATCTCTTCATTTAATTTCTTCAGTATATAGTTTTATGGTTTTCACTGCAGAGGTATTACACATCTTTTAAAAAATTACTCCTGAAAATTATATGATTTTTGATGCTATTGTAAATGCAATTTTTTAAAAATTTCATTTTCTAATTGTTAACTACCAGTATTTAAAAATACAATTGAATTTTGTATATTGGCCTTGAGTCCTGCTAAATTCACTTACAGTCCGGTCCTTCATGTCTGTGGATTCAACCAACCGCAGATTGAAAATATTTGGGATGGGGTCTTCCAGAAAGTTCCAAAAGGCAGAACTTGAATCTGCCTTGGCTGGTAACTATTTACATAGCATTTATGTTGTATACAGTATTATGGGTAATCAAGAGATGACTTTTAACTTTCAGCACATCCTTCCCTAGAGTTTTATGCAAATACTATGCCATTTTATATAAGAGACTTGAGCATCTGCAGATTTGGGTATCCATGGGGGGGGTTCCTAGAACCAGTCCCTCAAGATCACCTAAAATATTTGGTTTAGTATTTTAAAGATTCCTTAAGATTTTTAACTGGAATAATCATGTCATCTGCATATAGAGACAGTTTTATTTACTATACCAATCTTTTTTCTCTTTTTTCTTTCTTTCTTGCTGTACTGTAATGACTCAAATCTATGGTACTTAGTGCTGAGTAGAAGTGGTGAGAGCAGACATCATGCCTTGTTCCCAGTCTTGGAAGTGAAGCAGTGTACCTTTCACAATTAAGTATAATGTAAGCTGTAGTGTTTTCATAGATAACACTTTCTCAGCTTGTTGAAGTTCTCTTCTGATCCTAGTTGGCTGAGAATGTTTGTCCTAAATAGATGTTGAATTTTGTCAAAATTTTTTTCTGCATCTATTGAAATAACAGTTATTTCTCCTTTACTCTGTTCCTGTGGTGAATAACTGATTTTAGATTTTTATACCAGCCATCATCCCTGAGATATATACTACTTGGCCATGCTATATTATCTCTTTGATACATTGCTGGATTCTGTTTGCTAATATTTTTTAAGGCTCTTTGTGTCTAATTTCATGACTGATATTGATCTCTGTATGTTTGTTGTGAATAAAGACTTAGTTTCCCCACTCTCATCTGTAATACTTACAGTCTGCCCTGTCTTAATTATTGGCAAGTCCATATTTACAGTTGCCTAAGCCGAAAGCCTTCGAGTCATCTTTGATGCTCATTTTTCTCTCGTATACCACATCTGATTACCCACCCATTTGTGTTTAAAATCCATATCTGATCACTTATCACTTCTACTGCTACCCTCTGGTCTAAGCCACCATCATCTTTCTTGTCTGTCTCTCTTCTGCCCTTACATCTCTTCAGGCTGTTCTTAATACAGCGGCCAGAGTAACCCTATAAATAAAGTCAAATTATATCACTTACTTGCTTAAAACTTTCCTGTGGTTTCCCATCTTAAAATCCTTAACACAGCTTACAAGGCCCTGGGCTTGCCCAGTCTCCAGTTTCTGGTCACATCTTTTACCAGCTCAAGCCATGTCGCACTTCACAGTTATGTCTGGCACAGTTCTTCCCCAGGGCGTTTGCATTTACTTTCTCTTTTTTCTAGAATGTCCTCATCCCCCTACATACCTACATGACTTTCTTTCTTTTCATATTAGGTCTTTATATTTAATCATCCCCTTGAAAATGAGGCCTTCCTTAGTTATACTACATAAAACTGTGAGTTCCCACCACTACCACTGCCACAAACTCCTTTCTTAACTTCCTCTTCTGCTCTACTTTTCTCCTTAGCATGAGTCACCACCTGCATTTTGTGGTGGTTTTGTCCTCCACACCCCTGTCCCTAGAATGTAAGTTCCATGGAAGTGGAGGGATTTGGTCTATTTTGTTCTCTGTCCCAGTCCATAGCCTGGTGCTTAATGTCTATTTGTTGGATAAATAAAAGACTTGCCTTGTGGCTGTCACCTCTTAAGTGCATTGCCTTTGCTCCTAGATCCTGTACAACCGCACCATGGTGCAGCTGGGCATCTGTGCCTTCCGCCAGGGCCTGACCAAAGATGCTCACAACGCCCTGCTGGACATCCAATCAAGCGGCCGGGCCAAGGAGCTTCTGGGCCAGGGTCTGCTGCTGCGTAGCCTGCAGGAGCGCAACCAGGAGCAGGAGAAGGTGGAGCGGCGTCGGCAGGTGCCCTTCCACCTGCACATAAACCTGGAGCTGCTAGAGTGTGTTTACCTGGTGTCAGCCATGCTCCTAGAGATCCCCTACATGGCCGCCCACGAGAGCGATGCCCGCCGACGCATGATCAGCAAGCAGTTCCATCACCAGTTGCGGGTGGGCGAGCGACAGCCCTTGCTGGGTGAGTGTAGGGCTCTGTAATGACTTTGCTTGTTTGTTCCTTGGTTACTTTTACTCAAAGAATTTAAGAAGCTAAAGGGAGCAACTTTCCCACAAGATGATTCCATTTGGTTTAATGGTGTCTCCATGTATAACCTAAAAGCATCCTTTTACTCATTAGTCTCCATAGGCTCTTTGTTTAGGACACATTGTCTCCAAGTTAAGCTCCTTGTTTCCTGTTATTCTCCCTTCAGTCTGTACTTGCCAGCACTATCTTTCTACCAAATGTGTGGTGTTATATACACCCAGCACCTTCATAAATTCTTCATTGGCTCCAAAATAAAGCCCAGGCTCCTTAGTCACCAACTTAAACTCTCCACTGCCTGATTCCAGCAACATTTTTTATCTAGTATAAACTTACATAGTACTTTTTTCTGCCTGGCACTGTTATAAGTGTTTTATAAATATTAATTCATTTGTTCTTTGTTAGTAATAATCCTGTGATGTAGATACTGTTATTACCCAGAAGTAAGTGATTTACCCAAGGGTTAACTCAGCTGATAATGTGCCTCTCTAACCTTTTCCTCTTTCCCGTACATTATTTTTCAGCTAACCATCTAGGCCCTTAGCATTCAAGAATCTGATACTGGCTCCTTTGATCACTTTTGAAAGATCTGATCACTCAGTCCAGAGGTTGAGTGAGTTGTGGTTTCACTGGGAAAGGAATTTGAATTGTGCCCTTCCTATGAGGCTGGTGCATGGGAGGACTTGGCAAGTGAGCCAAGCTTACTGTCCACAGCCACATCCACTTTACAGATTTTCCCTCTACTGGTTGTGTGTGTGGTCATTTTAAGTACACTTAGGGCAAGTTTTCCTGAGACTATGAAGTGACGCTTTATTTTTTTTTAATCAGAAGTTTTCCAGTGAAAATCTGTATGTCTAGCATCTCTTCAGGCTTTCTGG